ACAGATGGAGAGGAGGGGAGATAGATCACTGTAGGGAGGTTGGAGCGTTCTAGGTCTCGCTGGCGCATCTGTGAGACAGCGTGCCACACCGATCGAGTAACTTCCCATTGATACTACCTATTTTCTACACGGGTGTCGGCTGTCCTGCGTGAATTCTTTCGCCTTTCCTTTTATCCCGTTCTCAGCCGACGTAAACCTTGTACTGGTAGGCGGGGTTCAAGTCTCTGACTGTTTATTGTACCCGTCGAGGACCAACATTCCAGCATGAGTCTGGCCACCTTATCATTCGCTCGGACAATCACCGTTGCGTTATCAAAGGCGAAGTTTTGGTTCTGTTGTTGTACGTAGCTGTATACCAAGTATGAATAGAATTTGGTCCAACCACTCGCCTCCTTCTTCCTCTTTCGGGGATGATGAACGCGATAAGATATCTGAACCCCCAATCTTAACGCATATTAGTGTATTATATCTTCATTTTTCTCAATCGGTATTTTCTAACTTACAAGTGTTTTAAATGGCGCCCCTTTTACGCATCCTTGATAGGTTGACCTGAAAGTCACCCTCGGTCTCGGCGGCGTGTTGGTAGTACTGGCATCGGTTGCGGCATCAATAGGCATCTGGAGTTACGCAGGAGTTCCTGCCACTCTGATCATCATTGAGGTCATTCCCTTCTTGGTACTTGCAGTAGGGGTGGACAACATCTTCATCCTTGTACAGGACTACCAAATGGACGAAGCAGCTTCGGCTTCGCGCAAAGCGACCACCGAGTGCCGGAATCGACCCACTAGTGAGGATCTACCCACTCAAGTAGATTATGATTTGCGCTCCGAAGTGGAGTCCCGAATTGCACGTACCCTCGGTCGTGTTGGTCCCTCGATGCTCCTTTGCAGTGCCTCTGAATCAGTCGCTTTTTTCTGCGGTACGTCTTTACTTTGAGGCCTCTGAACTTGACCCTGTCTGTTTTCGTAATCTTTGCAGCCCCTCCAACCTTGTGTAGTGTCGAAATGCGGACTATACTTGTAATGTTTTTTGAATTATATTCTTTTTATCGAAATATTTTCCGTAGACTAACGTACTTTCAATTTGAGTATAAAGGTATTTTCCCCCTTTCTCTCAATCCGCCAAGACTAAACAGTTTGCTTAATTGTAGTTAATTATACACCGATCTGTTTTTCAGGATTTACACAGTCATCGATAAACAACTGTTGACGACCTGGCCGGAAGTTGAATGACTGGCAGTTTGTGTTTACTAGTCATAATGTTTTTTGCCAACTGTGTGAATCCTCTCGTTTTAAACATAAAGATTGCAAAATGCAAAAATACTAACAAATTCATTTAAGAGCAGACTGGTCATACATCAAGTCCCATCCAGACACACAGCCGTCTAAAACGACATTGCATTACACTTTATTACTCGTGAGTAACGTGTACTTATGTTTTATTAGTATTTGGACTACCTGAGAAATGTCGTGTCTTCCCCCGGGACATTTAATTGGCGTACTTTTTAGATTTTTCTGCGTATCCATATATTTCCTATCGCCTTGTTACCAATAGGGAGTTCAAGGCGTTCGCTTATCTTTCCCTCGATAAACTGATGCTGATGCTGAAATTCCCTATCCGTGGTTGCTACGCCGAAAGTTTGGGTTTTTATCAATCAGTCAATGTATTTGGAGTAAATGACAGGTGCCCCTGAAAAATCCATTTAAAAGGTTCAGTTTCTTACGTAATTAGTTAGGTTGGAAAATTTTGACGGGTATTGTTTGCGCAAGGTGCATCTGAGACATGAATATTTAAAGATCAAAAATTTTCGAAAAATTAACGAAAAGCACATTTACTGCGTTTACACTATCTGATGTCCAATAGTGCCATAGGTAATTGGAAAAATATGTTTTCTAGTAGTCGAGATAGTAACCTGTTCATAGTTATCTCAGAAACTCATTAGACAAGGTTTATGAAGTTCTGGTTGACCCCTTAACAGATGATCATCCCGATGCCTCTTGAACATAGCTTAGGGAAAGCCCACCGCACATCGGTAGGAACTCCACTGACGAAAAGAATGAGGAGCATTGATTAGTGTGGAAAATTCCCATTTGATGTTGGCAATATTGTCGCCTGACAACTCGTATTCGGTGCCATTTCAATAAGAATTTCTCTTTTTGCATCCAGACTGTCGCGTTAGCAACTGAAAGGTTGCTATGGGGTCACTTCTGTTCTTTTTATAGTGGGGAGTTTCCCTCTAACCATGGCAGTTAGCCGCTGCTCGTACATCAAGGCTGTGGAGATGAAAGACGGATGCGGATCTATAATTCCGAAATTTTCAGCAAAAACATTCTCCATTCACAAGGAATAAACTAAGGTGTACAAAAGTACATCACCGAGAAATCAAAGGCAGTCCATAATCGCCACCTCGGGGATTAAAGCCCTTTCAAAAGTCCTCAAATATAGGCCAAATTGGACTGCTTTCAAAACGGCGCTAGCGTCGTGCGCTGATGACCCTAGTTTTGTAGTTCAAATAAACAAGGTGGATTAAACACCGGTTTATGATGGGCCAAGTAGGCCAACCGACGTATATATAAGAAAATTTACATGCGCATGGGGGAGGAAAAAATGGCTGCTCATCTGAAAAGCCCGCTGATAACCATTATAGCACTTCGTTGTACTCCTCCGAAAATACCAGTGTCTTTCCAAAGCTATGACGACCAACCAAGCCTCTACCAAATGTCCCAGGCGCGACCGCACGATTGCTCCCCAAATACCTTATGCGTTTTAGCACATAAGATTTCATTTATTCCTCATATTTTGGTTCCTGATATGCATGCCTGTACTTCCCTTCCCTTCTTCGCAGGCTCGATGACTTCAATGCCCGCCGTGCGCGTCTTTGCCCTGTATGCCGGAGTGGCTCTGGTCATCAACTTCCTTCTCCAGCTGTTCGCATTTACCGCGCTTCTTACACTGGACTCCCGGCGCAGCGCGGTAATTGAACTTTGTTTATCAGAACGCCACGGAAGTTCTAAGTGTTGTCAACCTCAAGCCTATTACAATTATCCATAATTGGTAGAAGTTAGTTTGGTTGATAAATTGATTGGTTGGTTAGCTAGCAAGTTTCAGAAAAAATCGCGGAGCTGCACATAGCCTCTTCTGCAAGGGCACTTTGACAAAAAGTGCTGGATTGTTTTGAAAAGAGATGAGGACCCTTTGGTAGCAATCGCATTTAATATTAACTGAGTATTTGTTGCGTAATTTTTGTTCTTTAATTCGGATTTAATGTTTGCAGCATAAACTTCATATTTTAAATTTGGTTTTGCGTTTTGACCAGTAGGTGACGATAACAAGACTTTGCACCTGTAGATACTATTTAGAACATCATTTTATTCGGTGCCAGTAAAAAACTAGGCATTTATCAGGCTGGGTAATGTGCCAACGCTGTGACGTTACCGTTTGTATTTTCCAAAGAAATTCACGCTGTTATGCAAGTTCCGGCTCAGCTTTTTTACCCCCACCGTCTGTTTTATCCA